CAGCTTTACGGCAATGCAAAGAAGACAGCCTTTTGTCAATATACGGGCAGTTTTTTTCTTCCTCCCGCGGTTTGCGGCCTGGGGTGTCGCTTATATGCAGGGGTGGGTTGTACAAAAGAAAATATTATACACAGACGAGGTGCCAAGTGCACATTGCCGTGAACGAGCGTGCCAAAGCTTAGCTAGAGGCCTACTGATAACTCCAACTAAAAGTGATGAAGCTCCGCACTACTGTAGTCATAAGTAAACGACAAGAAAGCCATAACGCTTCATGTCATTTCATGGACTTATTGCCTTTAATCTACGGCTGTGTTAACTGTGCGCCTTGAGATCGTATTTGCTATCGATGAACAAGACGATAGCGACCATGCACAGTTTCCTGAACAGCAGTTACGGCAAACACTAGTTCCGTTTTCCATCTGTGCACGATGCGCTGGCCATGCACATGACTTGAGAATTGTGTCGTTGCTATCTTTGTTCGCATTGTTACGGCGAGAAATATAGAGTTGAGTCGGTGCGCATTGACTGCAGACGTACTTTCGTTGTCGCCCATGCTCGCGTTCGGCACGACTGCATTTGTGTTCGCAGCAGTTGCGGCAGGATGCAGTTACACTGGAACTAGGTGCGCGCTGCTCGTGCGTATGCCTTCAGGCGGCGTGGTTGTCGTTCACGATTGCAGGGCTAATGACGACAAGTGGTAGTTTAGTGTTGAGCGCGACATAAATATATGGCGAGGTTTCTTGGAGATTGCGATTCTGCTGCAGCCCGCACGTACTTGGATCATATCCACCAGCAGCATCATGGTGCGTGGGCAAGCTGTCGCCGAGCATCTCAATGACGATAAATTCAGCAGGATGTGCGTGTGGTGCCAGAAAGTGTGTATCCGATAAAAACATGGTTGTTGCGATATGGCCTTGTGCTCTGGACGACACGAGACGTCAAGAAATGGGTGAGTTAGTATCGAAATTTCGCGAAAATTGAGGCAAGCTCCTCTTTATTATGGGGTAATACTCGCGAAAACTTCGTTAAAGCAGAAATATCCAGGAAAAGTATTCGTTGTGATGAGCCATAACCTTGTTTTGCATGGGCAGCTGGCGGGGCATTGAAAATCATTCGTTGTGGCGTTGTGAGAAAATTTCATTGTAGCCGAATGGATTATAGCAGAATTCAACTATAGTTCTGCTACACAACAATAATAGTAATCTGACTTGCTAGAGTTTCCTTTCTTGAAAACCCGGTGCCGCCCACTTTCTTGTCTGCAATTCCATGTCACACTGATAACGCATGCACGTTCGTGGCCACCAACTATCAGAACCATGGTGATAATGCGAGGAAAGTACTCGAAGTAGATGATGATTATTTTTATGCAGCAGAAACACTGCCCAAATAGTCTTTTTTTTTTTAGACTGTAGTGTCTCAACAGGGGCGGAAATTAAAAAGAAAACAAGAAAATCTGGAATGTTACATGCCAAAAGTGAGAGTGTGGGAACCCAAATAAATGGTGACTGCCTAGAGCGCTCTAATACCATATTTATTAGCATAATAGGTGCCCTTTTTTTTTAGGGAATCTGGCGCCAAGTTTGGGGAGCCCCTTCATGCTGGATAAAATTTCCAAACATTTTAATTCCAACTACAGCATAGACCACTGATAACGTAAGTTGCCGAAGTCACGAATGTCCGCGCTACAGCCAGAACTTTTTTTGTAGGCTACACCATCGCAAAGTGTGTTGAGCTGCATGCAGTCTGAGAATGTGTCTGAAAACTGATGCATGCGATGCGTGTGTTGACAAGCATTCAAATTTCCAAAAATTAACGTTGGAAGACTTGCGTTGCCGACAGAATGAATGCCAAAAAAAATGCCATAAAAAATAAGTGCCATCACGGAGATTCGACAATTACGTTTCAGGCCACATAAATTATGCCCACTATCATGACCGCAATTTCGTGCACTGAACGGTGTTCTTTTCACAGGCTCGCAATTCATATCCAAAGACACTGCAATTGAATCGCGAACCACCATTCGAGTGTTAGAAGTGCCACCCATGTCCTCCTTCCTTCAAGTAGAGCCACCGCAAAGAGTTCTATTGGTTCTATACAAAAAATCAAACTTAGATTGCTAGTGACTGCCACAGAAAGACAACCAACGCTGATTAGGCCCAGCCTACAATTTGACGTGATGTTGTGGGAAGTTTGTACTAGCAGTCATGTGATTAGCTCAAGCCATTTCAGAGCAGGTTTTCAGAGCAGCTAAAAACAAGCTCTGGAGCAGAAAAAAAGGCTTTTGAAGCAGCTAAAAGTGCATTTTAGTGCTTCCAGAGCAGCCAAAAGTGGACTTTGGAGCATAAAAAAGAGAATTAGAGGAAACCGAAGGCGTTTTGGGAGCAGAAAAAATGCTTTTAGAGCCCCTCAAGGCTCATTGCCAAGCCGTAAGTTTGAATTAGCGACAACTAAAACAGCTAAATAAATCGCAACTAAGCAGCAATGCATGGAGTAACCTGCATGTAGAGCTCGTACTACTCAAAGCTAGGGTTACCAACCGTCCTGAATTTTGCAGGACTGTCCAGACTTTTCATTTCGCGTCCCAAGTCCTGTGCCATTTCTGTCGGGACTGCTACATGTCCCAGATTTGTTTCGAACTGTGTTCAGTAACAAATTTCTACGTGGTCCTATCAATGCCCAACAACGGGCATCATGCTACAGAATACGAAGTTAGCACAAATCGCACACACGAAGCAATATTGCGGCGGCTAGCTGCGACTGCGAGGAGCAGAGCTGAAGAAGAATACACCATCTCCCGCTAAAGAGAACCATGTGTGGATGTGAAGCAGCAGGGAAAGGCAGTGAACAGCAACCACAGAAACTCGTCTAGTCAGGTAGAAGTATACTTATACTCGACTAACACTGCCGGTGACCACCGCTTGATGCTGGTGACGGCTACCGTGAACTCTGCCGGTGACCATGACTATAGCAACCCGCGGGTAACACCTTGCAAGTGGGGGTGACAGACGTGGCTGAAGCAGAGATCAAACAAGCTGGTCCATCTTCGTCGTTCTAAGGTGCATGCGATATGATTCAACCCCAGGTTAGACCGACCGAATGCTCAAGCAGAGAATAAACGCAACAATCGTGACAAAAACGTGAGGAGGACTGGGTATTTTAGAGCAGCAATTGTGACCTTTGATTTTATGAGCGTGGCTGTTCCTGATTTGAGAGTTATCTCGCTATCTCGGCAGCTGTCAGCGGGCGTCTCACATAATGCGACGGGACGGCGCAAAAGTGTGCCTGAAGTGGCCGCATTCTCTTACACCAGCGTTTTGTAGAGTTGCGTGAAATCGCATGCAAAAGAGTTATCTGCCAGCCTCACATCATATAATAATACAACTTGTTGCTATCACTTTCATTGCTTCACTCTTGAAATGAAACTGCAACTTTTTGTTCAGAAAATAGTTATGTCGTCGTAAAGTGCAGTTATTGCGCGTGCATCCTCAATTCCACCGTCGGCGGTGTTCAGCAAATGTAAAAACCTTGTGATGCGTGCTTTCACCTTTTTCACCAGCAGGCCGACTTGCAAGCTATTCACTACAGTTCTCCCGACTGCGGAACCAAACTTGGTTTGTAGCATGATGCCATTGTTGAGCTCAGAAGTGCCGTCTCTTTTTGCATCCGATCTCACATTATCTAGGGCAAGCTAACTGGGGCAGCAAGCAACACTGCGAACCCGCAGGATATCTGTAACGTGCTAACAGCGTAACCACCGTGGATAGCGGACTCATTGGTGGGGTTTGGAGCCAAGTCAACAAAACAAGAAAGCGCTGCACTGTGAAAGAGATGGATCCATGGAAATCACTCTCCTATTCTGAAACAATGACTTGTGTCATCAATGAAAACAAAGGTGCGCATATAAAACACTCGAGCAACAGGCTGTCGCCAATGCCTACGACATTGCGCGGGGAAATTCAGGGCTTAAACGAGGAGCTCTGAGAAGTTGGTCGGCAACTTTGAGCTAGAGCACTTCGAGTCCACAAACATTGAACTTTAAACATTCAAGTGAATTAGAATTCCCATACCAGTTGCACGACTCGATTCTCAAAGTGGCACAGCTACCTATTCCTCTTGTCTTGCACACGCAGTCTTTGCAAAATGGTGCGCACATTCGCTTCCCTGGCAACTTACGGTAAAGAATGATAGTCCAATCAACCCTGTGCAAGCGCACACGTTCTCCTCAATTGACGTGTACTCAAAACCAATGTAGCGTGGTGTGTGCACTGAAGACATATGCACGCTAGCTGGGGCACCGTGAACTCGAGCAATTAGTTTCATTTTCGAAACACAAATTCATCTTGTTTGGCACAATTTTGGCGCACAATAGTGGATATGCAGCCGGACGTAGAAGGATTGGTTTTTTCGGAGCAGTTTGGCGCAATTGGTGCAGGTGTCAAATCGCTGCACTAGACAACATGAAGACTGGGCGTCAAAAAGATCGCACTCAAGCACTGATTCAAGAATAGCGTGCCTAACACGATGTCCAGGTTTGTGGCTTGGAAATCAATGACAGCAAAAGTCAGCCGAACTTATGCAAGTCTGCGTAGTCGTAGCAAAAGGCAAAAGCTCACGTCAAAAAGCTGAGTAGCCTTTAAATTTGTAGACGAGGAAGCAAACACAATAACGATAACGCTTTTCTCGACAGGAAACTCGCGACAATGCACTTGATCAGGACGTGAACGCACACTCCATGCGAAACGCGCAAAGCCGGCAAGCGGCCGGAGCCACTCTGGCGCTGGGGCAAAGGCTACTTTGACACCCAGGCAACCGCCCTCCTTCCTTGCTCGGACATAATTTATGTAAGATCACCAGGCTTTGTATACTGTCCATGCTCCTGTCCTCTTCCATTTACGAATTTTCAACAAAAACTTATGGTAGTATTGGAACTTGCACTGTGGTGTAACTGCTATTACTGCAAAGCTGTTTACACATACATCCACACGGGCAGCTGCACTCACCGAAATCCGATGGCTTAGCCTGCGACAGATCCCGATAGAATTCTGTTCGGTGGGACTTCTTGAGACCCGTACACAGGCCAAAGTCCGAGAGCTTGATGTGCCCCTATGAAAATGTGCACGACGAAAGAATGAGTAAAACAAACCAAAAATGAAGCCAAAGAAAGTATAGGAGAGCCATTTGTAGTCTATAAACTGCATTCTAATCATTGTGATAGAAATGTGAAGTGGACAAAACAACAACCTCTCCAATTTTCTATAATGCATTGGTGGGCAGACAAAAATAAACTCTTAAATTACAGTTCTTTCATTGAAGAGAACAAGTGAACAGGGTAACCAGTCAACATTTTAAACCCTTGAAAGCAACCCAAAGCATAAACACAAATTCCAGCATGCAATTAATGATGTATCTAGTCAGAATGTCAAATCGGGCCAGTGCTAAGCAGCTCAGATACCTGCTATAAATAACCTCGCAAAGCCAACTAACACATATGCATTGGTTCCTGTGTGGCCTCAGTTCTATTTTAAATATTCTTATGGCGTAATCGGTTGGCCGTTTTCGAGCGCTCTGGAGTGCTCTTAAGAATGGCTGCGCCTTCGGTTGGTAGAATTCAAGCGTTCGGACTACTTTTGGTAGGTTGTTTTAGAGCCTCTGACTAAGAGCGCTCACAACCGCTCCGATTTCTAAGTGAGGGCGTGGCATGATCTGACCGAGAAGACGGATTACATGACACAAGCCGGCCAATGACGTGGCTGCCAGCAAGTGAACAACGTGAGGGGCGTGAGAGTGCATTTCGGATTCTAAAGGGGGCATCGCCAGGTGCGCAATACTTCGTGCACATGCATTTATTAGTGCCGTTTTCGAGCGCGTGGAGCGAATTCACATCTATGAAACCATATATGCACCACGTTGATAACGAGGCGGCTAGCAAAGGCGAAGAAAACTTCGCTGTCACCAGCTCGCACACAGCCTCGTTATTTGCCTTGAAGATAGCAGATCGGGCGAGGACAACCACCAGATTTATGTGCCGAGCTCAGAAGGCTTAGACATGTCATAGAGAGAGAAAGAATATAAGAAATTTCAGACATATCAAAGATATCCAATGGACTGATCGGCCGCGCAAGCGCAGCACTGTTTACTAGGCAGCTCCCCGTGCTGGCTGCACCATGGCGCTACAGGCGCGCTGCTCTTAAAGCCCCTTGGTCTTGTGAAAGTACCGCCATCCACTATACTCCCTCCTCGCCCCTCCCGGTCTCCGACACTTTTTCTGCACGATGATTGGTCTCCTTCACAGTTGCCCTTAGAGATGCATGGATCTTGCACTTTGCTTGTGTTTTTCTTTTTCGCTCACGCCATTTTTTGCCGATGCTCCGCGTAACAAACGTAGCGCGCACTTTGTTTTCTGTGCTTTGTGCGGGTGCTATACAGTGCTGTTGTGCCTATGACTGCAACAACCACAGTGAAAGTGGTTAGGCACTTTTTATAACGACCCAAGGTAAACGCGATGACTTTCACAAGCAGCAGTGGCTGCACAACATCGCCCAAAAAACTTCCAACAAAGAACAGTGTTATTTGCGAGGTAAGGCACCTTTCTTATTGCTCGTATCAAAGCATCGCGGAATGCTGCATTTGAAATAGTGTTTTTATCAACACACGCGTTTTTTAAAGGCGAAGCTCCTTAGGCCGTGGGTCATATGTCCCGTGTCGTCGTAGTAGCCAGTTGCATTGCATTGGATGTCAACAAAAATGGTGTCACAGCACTTGCACGGAGTGAATGATGATGAGTGGGACGAAGCATCCGTCAGTCCGTCCATGCTTCCGTGTGTCCTTGCTTTCGTCTGTCCGTGTGTACATTTGTCCATGCATCCATTCGTCCGTCCGCACGCTTCGCTTCACTCGTCACCATTCACCTCGCGGATATGCTGGGATTTTCTTCTCGGCTATTTGTGCATTGCTTTGAACTGGAGTTGTCATCAATATGCTGAATTCCTTTGTTAGAATCAAGAAGAAAGTTGAATCATTTAACGTTTTTATACAAATTATGTCAACGAAAGTTGCCTTAAATGTACCTTGTTGTGTTCAGCCAGCCACACGCCGTAAACATGATCGATCCTTAGCCCCCATATTTGCACGAACTAGTAGTGCTTACAAATACAGTTATTTTCCAAGAACAGTTGATGAATTGAATTCACTGCCTCATGAGATTTTTTCGGCTTACAATTTTGATATATCGCTGGAAAGTTATCGACTTGGAGATTAGAGTGTGCAAATGTGTTATAAATTTTGTTTCCGTTTCACAGACATGCAATCTCTGTTAGCATATAGGTACATGTTTTATTGTTTTTTTGCTGTTATGAATCACTTGATGTTTCCTATGCCCCTCTTGCCTGGACCAAAACGCCGGGCTGCAGTATGTCTAAATAAATAAATAAAATAAATAGAAATATTCAGCTCACACTTTATCATCTCGCACGCACCTTGGCAACCGTCAAAAATGCGCAACTGCAGTCTGCTTTTGCTGCAAACAATTACGTGGGATGACACAGCTTCTCGATCGCATTTTTTTTTACTGTTAGAATTTGTTAATGAGAACGTTTGCTGGAGAAAAATAAATCAATGAATAGAGATGACACTAATTGGCATTCATTTCCATACGGACATTTATTATTTTTGGGGGGGTATTAACACACAAAAATCCTGAAAGAGATGCGGTTCATCAAAAGAAGGAAACAAACACAGAAGCGCAACGAAAAAAAAAAAAAAAGCTGTAGCACAGTGATAGGAAAAGTGAGCCATTTTCTCGGAGACCCTGGCCGCAATCGTTTTGGTCACGCCTGCATGTTTTCCATTCACCAATAAAAAACTATATTATCTTTTATACCAGTGTCACATGTGTACTTCTGACTGGGATCAGTCAATCGTGATAAGAATTTTGGTCACTATCGACCCGCAGATGACCTTCCTGGTGCACAGTTTCTCTTCTCAGAGGTAACCCGATCGCTAGTTTCTCTGACAACATCCTCAAGACACAGTTCCAATTAATCACTTTCTTATGTTCCTGTTATTGTTGTAGATGAGTCACTGTTGGTGACACTTAATCATATTGACATTGCTCAAAGGACTTCTTCAGTTCGAAGACCACTGCGCAAAGCTACTTTCACGCCGAGTAGATGAACACATGGCTAAACGATCCACCATCCACGAAGTCATTGCAATATGTGATGCTGTAAGTACCTGTGTCGTATACCAGTGCACAAGCATGAAAAAAAAAAAATCCGAACACAGACGCAAATGCTACAAGTGGAACTATATCACATGCAAGTGTACAGCATCTTATTATGCGGCAGAAAAACATCAGCATCATAAAACTCCCCCAAGAACTTTTTATTTAATTAGCATGGCCCACTTATACGACCTTTGGAAGAAGCTAATCTTTTTAAATTGTTGCCTCAGTGTTCTTAGCTTTATTATCACTTTGAAAGACGATAGCCTTTCTTGGGGCCCTTCAACGCAAAAATTTTGATCTGTCTGTACATTTGTCTGTTTGTCCCCCCTCGATGATGCTGGGTACTACAAACAGCATCAGCCAATACCCCAAACGGCCGACCCCATCCGCAGCGCCCACCAATGTTGCTTAAGATTCAGCGTTCATACTTGTGAGATGATCAATTAAAAAGCAATTATTGCACATATCTGAGGCACCATAACAACACGTATATATTCTGTTTGTGTGTCTTTTACTAGAAAAGGCATACATAAGCAATTCCAAAAACCGTAGCGCTTTTCACACTGTGCTGACCTTGCAACACTTGCACGAAAAGGCAAGTGTTTCCAATGCTATGCTAAGATGACACGGTGGTGGCACCTACCCGTCGCCTGGCGTTTTACACCTTATCACCTCTAAGCTCTCTCAGAGCCACGCGCTTCGTTTTCCAGAATAACTGCCACAGAGCTCTCATGTTTCACGTGTGATGCGACTTCATGCGCTCGTTTGCCTCCGCTGCACGCTCGAGGCACTCTAACGCAGTGCCTCCAGAATACCATTCACCGACTTTCTTGCGCAGAACATCAAATAAACATTTTCTTAATTCTCTCCAGATGCAAGACTATCGTCTTTTGACGACAGTTGCAGATTAACATGCAGATACGGGGCCAATGTTTAAGAAAAAGTTTCAGCACTATTATGAAGCGCAAAATGCTGCAAGTAACCCGCCTTCATTGAATTCTGCGGCACGCCCACGGGAACGTCGGCGAAAAATGGCGCCTCGCGTACAGCAAGCGGGCAAGAAGAATCGAGGAGGAAATGCGCGCGTGGTGGAGAGCGTCATTACTTTCCCAAGATCAAGGACTTTTAGCTGCTCTAAGTGCTCTGAGATCTCCGATGTATTTGGTTGGTATGCTGCCTCCCGCGCTCCTATAGCGAGCTGCCTCTGCATCTGGCGGCTCTGAGCCAGAGGACCAGAGTGACCAACCGAATACGCCATGATCAAAACTTGACTGGCAGCTACAAGCTGAGCTCATGGGACAACCTGTAGCAAATGTCTATAGATATGTCACTGACTTTCTAGTTATGTTGAACATAAAGGATAACATGTCATCCACTTCAGTGAATTGTTGAATTGAATTGTTTTAAACAATGCACAAGTGCATCATCTATCAACCATGAACAACCAGCCATGGATGCTTTGCAATCTTTAGATCTTAACATTCTTTTTAATCAAGTTGACCACGTTTTCTGAGAGTTTTCACCACGGTCTAAGAAGGGCCTGCTACCCTTTGACTCTTCTAAAAGCATCGTGAACTTACTTACAGCGCAACACCAGCGCCATCTTTTCTTTCTCTTTTACTCCTTCCCTGTCCTGTGTTTTTTTTTTTTTTTTCTGGTGTTGCGCTGTAAGTAAGTTCACGATGGATCCTAACCAACTGGCCCAACTTACCGTCTTACTCTTCTAAAAGCAAGCTAGCGGAAAGGGCGATGGCTAATTCCTGCCTTAGTTCCTCACTGAGCAAATCATGTCCCAACAAAATGGAAAACAGTTTCCGAACCAAATAAGTCGCCTACTTGGCTCAAGTTACCCGGTCAGTTTGCTTGTGGCAGTAGGCGG